ATTTACCTTTACCAAATGCACAACGGAACGAAGAGTTTTCAGGAGGGACGGCTAAAGCAAGTCAAAAGCTGGAGAAAGATAGAATTAAGCGGCAGTGGCGGAATTCGAATTCTTCACCTCCAAGTCAGTGAAGTAGTCTCAGTAGAGCAAAGCTATATGCTACCGAGTGCGTCCCAAGGGCGTGGATAGGGGAACGGTCGTCATCTCGCGGCTAACCGTGAATAAAGTGGGCCTCGGTCCTCCGAATAAATGGTCGCGAACAATCAACGGCGGCGATCGAGAATGTGGTGGGTTTACCTCCTCACAAGGGTTCTCCGTACAAAACACAACAAATATCTGTGGACAGCGCTGTGACGTGGCGAGGGAGACTCGTCACTGAATATGGCCATTGCCTCCTGTCGAGAGCCATTGTGTGGTAACATTTTCCAGAAGAGGCAAATAGACCGAAAACTGGTCACCGGCTCATCTGGAAAATTGCTGCTGCTCTGCAGTCTGCGCTTGATTGCACAAACGCTAGAGTGCTCCCTCAATGAAGGCCTACTCTGGACTGGGTGACCGAGTAGTACAATAGCACGCAGCGCACACAACTATGAACGGTAATACTTTCATGAATTCGCATTCTGAACCTTCATCATACAAAAGACATTCTACACCGTACACACTCTCTTGTTCTCCCAGCCTCCCTCAACTCTCCTCTATCTCTCTTGAGTACTTCAGACGATCGCACTAACAGTAGTATCTCGGGCAGATATTCTGCCACTGTTTGCTCTTGTCCTACCTCAACTAGCATCCAGGTCTCACCGAATCCTCCACCAGCCGAAACCCTTCTCTGCTCTCGATGTTCTTTCAAACTAACCACGTTTAATGTGCTTACTCTGAAGCATATAGGACAAGAGGCGTGTTCACCTCGTACACTCGAGACCCTAGCAATCGATTTGTGTTGCATCCAAGAAACTCGCATTCAAGACTCTGGCTCCACTATCCCATTGACGTCACCCTCGAACCAATCTGTGAAGTTTCATTTACGCCTCACTAATGACCCTGAGGCTGCGGCTTCTGGTCTTGCTGACATTGGCATGGCTCTCAGTGAGAGGACTGATGTCGCCCTCAAAGATTGTATCACAATCGATAGAAGGTTGTGTGCAGTGGGACTTAAATGTTCGTGGAAACTAGTCAGTCACTGCCACAACGGATGAAACTTGAAGATCGTATCGGTTCACGCTCCAACGAACTGCAGCCAAGAGGCAGTCAAAGATGATTTTTACCATATTCTACTCGGCCCCTTTTGTAGACTGACTCAGGTGGATAGCGCGACTTTAGCAGCAGATATGACTGCTGGAGTAGGTCGGCTGGCGCGAGGCGCGTCTGGGAGGCCCTTTTGGACTGAATTCCTGTCGCTCGGAAATCGGTGAACCGCTGTCGGCTCTGCGTTCCTAACGCCGCCTATTCATCGCCATTAAGAACTTTAGACGCTCCTTCTGCTGGTATGCCACTTGGCATCCGCTCACCTTCGTTCAGCAATACAACGACGATTAGACCGTGATAAGCTGTCCAAGCCAGCTTGTCTAACTGTCTTTAAAAACGCGCTAGCTGAAAAGCTAGAACCAACCCCACCTGATAGCGTCAGCGAGCACTGGTCGCTTATCAAGAATGCTCTCTATTCTGCTAGCTTAGTTAGTTGTAATCTGATATGTCGTGTCGTGACACCCTGGATCTCTGCAGAGTCTCTACACCTTCTTGACGCACGTCGGTCACTTCTGACCGACAGCGAGCATAGTGCAGTACGACACGTAAGGAGTCGTAACAGCATAGCAAGCCTTCGCGGAGATCACAATATCTGGTGGACTCGACACGCATTGAAGATGGAACGTGCTGCAGCCATGGTACACTCCCGTAAGCTGCTCCACCTTATCTCGGTAACCAGTTGGTAAACCTTAATTGTGAGCGAAATGATCTGAGAAGTTGACAACTTCAAGGTTATTTTGATTCGTGTGTCTTAAGTGGTAAGCTGCGTAGTGCGCTTTTCCGATAACATTCCGAATGGGGTTAGTTGGATTTCGAAGCCGCACCCCGCTCCCCGGACCTAAGGACACATTTTCCACTTTCTATCAGTCAGGACTTATTGGTGAATTGCAACAATTTCATACAGCGTATGATAACAAGCAAACGACTTAATACATAGTTAAAATGAAGCACTAGAGGAAGTTTCTTATTTTTGTGATATTAATCATTGGAGAGACAAGCTAAAAGTGTGAGTTTGTTTCTGTTGTTCAAATAGTATGCAAGTATGCAAGTGCAATTTTCAGTTTATCTCTGCTGAGATGTGTCACTCATTTATTGTTCCTTCTCTAATACTTTAACCGTTAATCTGCCTTCAATAAATGGCAGAATCAATTGAAAAGGTCCGAGAAAACAGAAACTGTGCGAGCATTTTTGTTCATTTTCACAAACTGCTCTGTACAAAACTGTTTCCTTCACCTTTGTATTGATTTCAGTTGAACCGTTTTCAACTTCCAGGATCAGGGCAATTCGGGATGTGAAAGCGACACGTGAACCACCTCTTCCTCACAGTCCACACTTTATATTCTTATTCACGTGTGTTCACCATTTGGTCTTTGGATCAGTTGATTACTATAGTTACCTCAGTTTCAGTTTCATTTTGTACAACCATCAACTATGCACTTTCGTGCGCCGGTTTTGACTGCTGTCTTTTAACCGCCCAATCAAACGAAGGATTAGGAGAAAGATACGAAATTTGAAAGTAGATTCGAGGAGAAAATGGAGAAGTTCAGTAAAATAAGGTTGCAGCGAAACTGAGAGGATGCACGAGCACCACTGTTTACGACATTCAGTCATATCATACCGTGCCCTTAACCATTGATCATAATGATTCCGAGGTCATCAGCCAGGGCGATGAACGCTACCTAAGTGACTCAGTTTCCTGGCTAGGGTTTTCATACTATCGTGCCAGGTCTTATTTTGCCACCGCGGCTTTCGTCAACCCACTACCCGCCTTGGCAACATCGCACGTAGTGGGAACCTATTTGGTGACATGCGTAACACATGTCCCAATCAAAATAACCTATGCAGGTAGACCGCGTACTACCATGGGTTTCCGCGGCTACCTAAAACTCCGTGCCTAACCTCAGCATTGCTTGACCGGTTGTCCCACCAGATTCGTGCAATGCTGCGTAGACAGCAGTGTTCGAACGCCGACAGTCTATTTTTATCCCATTTTCCTAATGGCCAAGTTGGTGTGCTGCATGGCAGAACTACGCAAACTGCTGCAACATACACTGGACCATTCACGGACAAGTGAATGTCGCAGTGGCGCCACAGATATCTGAATTTGACAAATGGCAATCGAGCCTTCTGTATGCGTGCCGACACTTCATCCGCGATGCGTCCATCAGGTGAAATGCAGCTGCTCAAATAATAAAACTTGTTAGCTTGGTTTATTACTTTCCCTTTTATAGTGAGGATGAAAGCTAGATCTATCCAGTTTGTATCGACATTTTGCATTTTGAAGGTGCAAAACGCATGCTGGCTACACTAAAATCTGAACTATCCACAAAAGCTTGCAACTTACCTGGATATTTACTTAACAGTGCTTCGTCGTCTGCATACTTCAGATCAGACAGCCTGCAATCTGAGAACAATTCGATGCTGCTATCTTTGCACTAGAATGGGGCTTTTCTATTACCAACTCCAAAATAAGTGAGATCTAGGGCAACCCTTACCGCTTTCTGTGGTAAACTCGGGCAAAACATTACTGTGAGCTCGGACTCGGATTCGGCTACGAGTATAAAGGGATCGAAATACGGAGTTAAAATTTTCGACAACACCGTTCAGGGAAAGGCAGCGCCAGAGTCAGGTGCGGTTGACTGAGTTGAATATCGCTCTCAGATTGACGAAGACAGAGATGTAGGGTCTACGAAAAGAGTGTCGATGTTCTAGGATTTGGTGAGGAGTGTAAATATTGTCTGTACAACGTCGAACAGGTCTAACATCAGCCTGATTCTCACGCGTGCATCCCTCACCTGTGGCAGATAATCGGTGGAATATGATGTTAACGATAACTTTAGAGGCAATGTTGTTTAAATTAACGACTTTGTGGTTTTCACAGAATGATGTGTCACACTCCCTCTCCCATATTGGTCTCAGGAGTTTCGTCAACAACAAGACTAACACTGAACCTCCATACTTAAAAGCCTAATGGGAAAGCTCATCTGAGCGGGAGGCCTTATAAATTTTGAGATAAACTATTTCTCTGGAAACCTGCATTTTAACATGGAGAACTGGCATCAGTCAATGACTGACAGCATTTAACTCCTTTTTATTGTGAAAAGATACTAATTTCTTCAATCATTTTGGACAATAACAGGTTTGATCAGAGCATCATCTCACAACCAGGTGGTCTGTGGTTCTCCTTTACGGGGAAATAAGATGCATTCTGCCGCATCACAAATTCCAGGTTATCGCACAGTAGGGATAACGACCTAACGGCGGAGTGACTGAAAGCATAATGAGGATGGTGGGCAACCGTGAAATTGACTGATTCGAGCGATGACGTCCCTCCAAACTAAACTCAAAAGAGATTTTTCGATTTTTCGGCAAGTAACCGTCGATTTGATACTAATGGGTGTTGAACGATACTGTCTTTGTCATCGAATATGCGTCCAGATAAAAGTCGAAATTTAGAACAGGTTTGGAAATCTGACCGTTTTGATAATTGTGTGGTGCAAATGATACTCCTAATCACGAATCAGTTTGCCGATAAACCGAGCACATCCAGTGAAAACAACTTGAAATGAAACATTTTGCCGAAACTTCTCCGTCTTTTCCGTCCCATCAGGTTTATTTGAGGGCGTAGTTCCGTTAGCTTGTACACACCGGAAGACGTTTTTGCAAATGTTTTAACACGATTAGATCATGAAATTTAATGCGCCAGAATGACATCAGATAATCTGATGGAGTCCAATTTGTGAATGTTTTGGTTGTAAGCACGAAGAATGAGGAGTTTATTCATCAAGTATGATAATAGAAACGAGCTTTGAGACTACATGGGGTGTTAACAACATTTTTTGATTTTTAGCACAAGTGAAAGCGAAATTACATTGAAGAAAGGTGAACCCTCAGAAACCAGGGCATAGATAACCAACCAAAAATTATCCATATACTTGGAATCATTTTAACTAGGGACATTCACTGCTTACAAGTTTAAAAAAACTGTAAACATAATGTTATTCTGATATGTACTAGAACCATGAGGAGGTTTTCCATCATCAAATGAAGGTAATGTCATTGATCTGTTCTTGAAGAAAACTTGAACAGATATGATACGGGAATCCCTCAGTTTACTGGATATGGGTTGTTCATGTGAAGTCTTTTAACACACATTTAAACATAATCCTACTACTTTTGTTACACGTGTTGCAAATATTTAATGCCGGGACATTCGTTGGTGGCACGTCATTCACGACGTTTTATACTTTATTGGTTCCGCAAAACAGCGATATATTTGGGTTGTAATGCGGAACAAGCAAACACGTGCATGGCACACATTGTTGAATTTTCATCAGCCAAACTTACTGGAACGCAAATTTATCCTAAGGATGATCGTTATTATGTTTCAAAACGTCGAACCAGATACTCTTCTCATATCGGAGGTATTCCGCGAATATTTGTCTTTTCACAGGATCACCGGCTTGAAAATGTTGTCCCTTTCTCCGTGCCGATCATCGTTTGCAGTGTTACAGTTGAATCAGGCACGGATCTATTCCCGCTTTTCATTTATGAAAAATTTATGTGGATTGGTTTTCTTGCCGTTTTTTTCAATTTATTGTCAGCAGACTGATAGCTCTTACAAAACGTTTCAAAATGAATGATTGGAAAATTTATAACTTACTTCAAGGACCTAAATTTCAGTCACTGCATAGCCAATGATGTGAGGAAAATAGCGTCTTCTATTTCAAACTCAATGTTTTTAAACAAAGAACGCGTAAAATTGTGAAAAGAATGAATTCCGCCGTTTCAGTTCAGCGTTAGTTTGTACAAACTCGGTAGCATTGCAACGCTTCCCAAGTGGTTTTGGATTATTTGAATTGTTATGACACGCTATCCTCTTCTTGTCAATATCCCAGGTCCACGCAATTGTGGATGTTGTTTATTTCTGAAGTATAGTTTTGCAGCACACAATAAACAATCGGTTTCTCCTTGAACTGATTCTCCTTTGAGGTTAACTAATTAGATGCAAACTCGTACATATTCATATATTTTACACCGGCTTGTAAACAAGCATGGTTCCAACGCCACAACAATAATAACAATAACATGAGGCAGCTGGATTGAAATACAAACAGACAGACCGTACAGCATTCGCGCCACTGACTTCTATCCGGACCATATCTCTCAGCGTCTCTAACCAACGACAAACCTCTTCCCACGGGCCCCAATCTGGAAGGTGGGCTGCGCCAAACGAAGCCAAAGCTGAGGCCAGCTTCTTCATACCGCGTCATGGTCTGACCGCCACGGCTCTCCTGCCAGCCTTGCCCAGCACGTGCGGAGAGAGCACGGCAAGGTATTCGGTGGGCAGGCATACGCAATACATGTCCGAGCCATCGGAGGCGGTGTAGAGTGATTAGTCCCGTTAGAGAACGACTATCCGCACCCAGTACACGACGACAAACCTCGTTATTACTCACCCGGTGTTCCCATTAGACACGAGCAATGCTTCGGATGTATCGGTGGTCAAATACAGAAAGTCGATTAGCATCCTCAACGCGGAGGGGCTAAGTCTCGCAACCGTAAAAAAGAACGCTACCAACCGCGGCAACGTATACCTTTCCCTTAATGGA